GAACCAAAAAAGCTAGGAAGCTAAAAATTTAGGACAACGTTCCCCACCCACGTGTGACCCCGCAAATTTAAATTCAGCTCCCCGTACCCGCGGGTAACACGTTTGGCCCCGTGAAAGTTTTTTACGGGTAAATTAATATCTCGGAAACCACAGAGTCTACGAGGCTGAAATTTTAGGGTAGTAACTCCCTGCCCGCTCCCAACCTTACCCATTCAAATTCAGCGTTCTCGTGCTCTCGGGTATCACCTACGGGCTAGCGAAAGTTTTTTACGGGTAAATTATTGTCTCGGGAATCACAGAAAGATATTCACCCTGCAAGGTTTCGAATTCAGCATTCATGCGCTGGTGCGTGAAATTTTTAACTATCTTCCAATTTCTAAACTGTTTTTGCATGGACTAAAGTACAAAGCAGTGAAAATCATTAATGGACAATCGTTCGATGGGCTGAATTGCACAAAACGTATGATCGCACCGGCTAGTCTGGTGCGCGTTGCTATTTATTTTTTGCTTGGCTCTTCATCTGTGTGTTTGGCAACTTCTTCAGTTGTTTTTTGACCAACGCTTCTTCGCCCAGACTAGTTAGAGTACTAGCGATCCTGACATTCGTTTTTCTCCCGGAAAAGTCTTTAGATACAAGCCATAGGTTGTTTTTATTATTCCAGTTGCTTTGACCAATGCTTCGTACAAACTGTTTACTATGCTGGCGATCCTGACATTCGTTTTTCCCGCAGGAAATTCTATAAATACAAATCGTAGGCTGTTTTTATCTTTGGGAAAATTTATCTTTTTCTTTTTACTAGAATTATCACTTTTTTTGGTTTTTTCCGTAATTTTTAGCTTTTTGGATTTTTTTCGTATTCTAACTTACCTATTTTTCTTATTTCTTAGCTTTTTCCGTATTTTTTCGTGGAAGAATTTAGAATTTTTTAAAAAATTTCATCTTTTTTTTTCACTGAAACTGAAATAGAAAATTAGCATTGCAAAATTTAGGTAGTAGAAGCTGACACAGATGTAGCACCAGCACTGCATACACGTTCAAAACAACAGGACAGCATTGCTTTGGAACCCGACAATGAGCAATTGTTCGGCGATGACATGTTGCTCTATTCAGCTGTAGATGATCCGGATTATGTGGAATTCATTCGAAGTCTCAATGATCCATCAAAATATGAAGGCGATGGTACCGTCTTCCTCTTTTGCATTTTTAAAAAGCATACTTTGTGAAGAGAGCGCGCTTGGCGTACTGGAAAGTGGCTGTGCTATCGCGCAGTAGGTGGGAGTTCGATTTTCTTGGGGAAACAATCCATCCTTCTACGATTCGTTCATTCGTTTCGACACAAATTGGTGTTTGTTTATGCCAGGGGATCAATCCCGTCATCTGCATGCCCGTAAACATCTCTTAAAGAAGGAGCGAGGGAACCATCAATAGCTAGAAAACGCAAAATCCGTCATTCCTGGGCTGAAATATTTGTTTTTTTTTTCTGGATTAACTGAAATAAACTCAAAGACGTACCACCAGCAGCTGTAAAACGCAAAATTCGTCATTTCTGGGCTGAAATATTTGCTTATTTTTTCTAGCTGCACTGAAATCAACTTAAAAAACGCAAATTTAGAAGTATTTTTCAAGAACAACGAAATGAATTCGAGATTTCTCAACATTCTGACAGAATTTAGCGTTTCTCAAGCCACACTAGCTCAAATTCTTGTTAATTTTGCTTGCAACATGGGCAGTTTTGGTCACTTACAAAAGTACAGAGACCTCTACAGGTGGCTTTCTTTTTGATGACTGTCCTTCTCCCTCTTAGGTTTCCGTACCACCGATTTAAAAAAAAAGAAGAAATCGAATTGCAGCTGATTATTTCACTGGCATTTTATACTTTTACGGATTTATTCTGAGCTTTTCACAATAGGTTGTATGCCTTTTTAGAAGCAGAAGATCCGGAATATAACTTTTTGGCGGATATCGATGCCGAAGATTGCACAGAGGAATACGAAGTACGAAAAGACCGTGCCACCGAAATACCAAGTGAGTTGTATCTGAAAAAAATTCCACTTTGGCGCAAAATCTCTTTTTTGTGCATATTATGGTTTACCTTTCATTTTTTGTGACGCTAGTAATACGGAAGATTGAGAAGACTAGATTGCCCAGCGATACTAACACCTGATTCTGGAAAAAGCTGTCACAGCAATATGGCAGGTACGACAAGATACGTTTATCCGTCAAATAGATCATAGACACAAATACTGGTAAATCCAGCGGTGGTTTAAAGTAGCTCAAAATCGTTCGTGCTTATAGTGGTTGAAAAATGAATTGGATGAAATGCAGACAAAAATCAAAAATTTCACGAAATTTTATAAAAATTTTAACATTTTTAGGGCGAGAGATAGAGGACCTTCTCCAGGATTTGTTGGACGCTCGCTTGCTGCCCTCACCGGATGATTCGGGACAGATCAACAACTCAGTGCAAAAGGTCTATCCATGCTTTCTTGATAATGTCTACTTCCTTCACAATTACAGTACAGTTCCTACCACTCGCTCATCAGCATAAACTCGTGGAGCAGCACTGTGCTCATAGACGGATCTCAGTTGCGTAGTAATTCCATCTGTTAAGTGCCAGCGCTTGAGTCGATTCTGCCGGTGAATAAAATTTTGCAGTTTCTGTGCAAAATCATATGGCTTAGAGGAAAAATTTGGTCCATCTTGCTGTAATTATTTCAAATTCGAGTTTCTCCCCTCGACTGCTCTTCATTAAAGAATTTGTGAGGGATTAGAAGCTTTTAACTGTGAGGAATTAGCAGCATATGGGTCGGTAATTCTTCAGATCTTTTTTTTTTTGGATCATGATATTCGCACACGCGAGAACCAGACAAAGTGGAAATATGAAATTTTTGAGGGGATGTTCCCTCGCCACGTACAGCTTAACGATTTCAAAGTCAGCCCCCAGTTATGCGTAGTTCTCACGTGCGGACATTCAGAAGTTTTGGCGGTAGATTGCATTTCTCGTTTTGAAAACAATCACGGAAGAAAGAATCTGAGAAGCCCTGCTGTTGAGAGTGCCGTCATGCCAGTTACTTCCGAGTACTTCCGCCCCTTCGAGGAAATGGAGTCAAAATTTAGCTGTTTTAGAGGAATTTGAGTAAAATTTAGTAAGACCTTAAATTTAGCTGTTTTCTCCTTGATTTTCCCTAGTTTTCACATTTGATCCTTCTTTGAGCTAAGCTCTTTTAGGTCTTGAAAAATTTTTTAAATTTCTCTGTCCATTAGCTTCAGATTGACTGAGGAAATGGGGTTAAAATCTAGCTGTTTCAGAGGAATTTGAGTAAAATTTAGTAAGACCTTAAATTTAGCTGTTTTCTCCTTGATTTTCCCTAGTTTTCACATTTTTTTCTTCTGTGAGCCAAGCTCTTTTAGGTTTTGAAAGATTTTTTAAATTTCCCTGTCCATTAGTTTCGGATTTACTCGTTCAATTAAGCAATACTGGATGTAATTGCAGGATGAGTTTAAAGAAAATTCTGCGGTTGATCAGGAGAATCCGAAGCTCGAGGCAAAGGGGGGTGTGAGGGCGCAAACATCGGAAGTGCAACCGGGAAATTTGCAACCGGAAATTATACTTGTGGACGCAACACTGGAAGATTTTGAACGACTTGGCATGAGATCATCGACACTTATAGGCGCCAGTTTTCAATGCCCGCCTTTGTTCACTTTTCCTGAACTACAACAGCTCAAAACACAACTTGAAAAGGTAAAAAAAGAGCTAAAATTTCGATATTTTGCATATGCTCTCGATTTCAGATGACTTTTGCCCATTTTGACTACGCCTAAATTTTCATTAATCAGTTTTGATTTTTCGCGAAAATTCGTTAAATGCTGTTTTTTTGCGCATAATTTTAGTAATTCGACTGTTTAATAAGTTGTTTAATTGTTTAATAATTTTGAGTTGTTTAATAATTTTGCTTTAGCATAATCTTGGTAATTTAGATTTTATCCCTTATGCAGTCTTCATGCGTTTTTGCATATTAGGGCTAGTGAAAGTTTTTACGGGTAAATTATTATCTCGGAAACTGCGGGGTCTAGGAAGCTGAAATTTCAGGGTAATGAACCCCTGTCCACGCTCAACCTTGCCAATCCAAACTCAGCGTTTCCGTGCTGTTGAGTATCACCTACGGCTTCGTGAAAACTTTGGCGAGTAAACTATTAACTCGGGATAAAGATATTCACCCTTCAAGGTTTTGAATTCGGCTTTCATGCGCTGGTGCGTGAAATTTTTAACTGTTTTCCAGTGTTTGAACCACTTTTGTATAGACTGGAGTACAAAGCAGTGAAAATCGATGGGCTGAATTGCACAAAACGCATGATCGTGCCGGCTAGTCTGGTGTGCGTTGCTATTTGTTTTTGTTTATCAAGGCTTAATCAACACTGAGCATTTTTATCATACACTTTTGATGACATATTACACACAATTCGTATGTATTATTTTGCAGCACGTGCAACTTTTAACACAATTTGCTGTTGGTTGCCTGTTTGAAGAAACATTGTACAAGGCATACAATAGTTTCCAACTTATGATTGTAAGTTTATTTTTGTTGTTATTTGTTTTAACTTAATCTTATAAACTATAATAGGTGTTACATATTCTGGGGGAATGATGGGCAGCGCCGATCCCATGCTGCGGAACGAGGACCCAATTTCGCCGATGGAAAAACCAGTCCCTTTACCGTTCATTCGTTTCCAAGTATTGTTGAAATTTTAAAGATACAAACAGTAAATATTCCTGGCAAGGGATGTTCATTGTTGGAAGAAAACGGGGGCCATTTGGAAGAGAACGGGGGCCTGAAATCGTCTATATGTTAACATATGCAGTTTGTTTGGTGTTATTGGCCCATCGTGGAAAGGAACACAATCGAACTTTGATAATTAATGAAAACACTGGAAGCGCCATTCGGACCTTCCAAATAAGCAAATCTGTATGTGCAGTGGTGACTTGTTAGCCTGTCTGTGTTTCATCCCTGAGCTGTAAACACAGATGGCAGAATCAGTGCGGAAGTTAGATTGGTAGTAGCGGATGTCAACTGGTCAAGGCAGCCATCAGCTTGTTTGTAGGTAATCTTCCAAAGAGGTTAGCACCAGCGGTTTTTGGCACTGGGTGGTTGCTGTTAACATTTCGGATTCTTTCCGCCCCGCATAGAGAGTTACGATGGAGAAAGTTTTAAATCTTGTCTCTTGATTTTGTATCTGTATCCACTTCGGAGGCTATCTGACTGCTGTTTTTTGGAACTTTCATGCAAGCTGTATCTTAACTTTTGGGGTTCTCAAAGATAAACGGTGCGCAAGGTTTCTGCTTCTTTCTAAGTATTTGCTTTGTAAACGCTCATTAAATGCATTCAGTTATTTTTTTTTCCGGAATTTAACTTAAGCGGAAGCTTTTTTCTTACTATTTCATTATGCTCATTTTTTTTTTTTGGAGTCATTTGTTATCTAGATGTTTTTTCAGAATGAATTATACGAGCGTTCCAGAGAATCCCCGGCTCATTCGTTTTTCAATATATCAAATTTGATGGCTTCAGTAGCCACA